TATATTCATCTAAGCCAGTGCTTTTCATTCTCTATATCAGCATGATAATCAAGCCCAGTATATATATATATATATATATATATATATATATATATATATATATATATATTTGTACTGTTATTGACAAATAGAAAATTGGAATACTTCAGTGCAACCTTTGAGCCATATTTGTCATTAACCCAAAAAGATTTTGTTAAAAGATCAATTCTTGATTAATCAGAGGCCACTGTTGCTATTCAGCTGTTTGCCTTCTGATCTGTTTTGTTTTAATTTTTATCAAAATATATGTGTGGAGATATATTATTTAGAAATTTTCAGCCAAAGGAAATACCTTTCTAAGAATCAGATTGTACAAATCACATGATAAGAACCCTTCAAAATATCTTTCTCTTTCAAACCCTAAGTAAAAATTCTGAACAAGAATGTGCAAAAGGAACACTTACATCTCCTTGAATAAAGTCCAAATTTCTCTGAAGGTACATCCACTCCATGTCAAATAGAGATTTTTCAACAATTTCTTTTTATTCTTTTAGGTCAGAATTCAAGGAAGCCACGAGATTTTTACCTTTTATTTTGTTTGTTTTTCATGAATTATAAGGAGTTGGGTGGATGACTTCACTTCAAACTTTTTCCCCTTGCTTTGAAAAAAAATGTTCATAAAAAATATTCTGGGTCATTAAAAAAATATTAGCTTTCTCAGATTTTCTCCAGTTGAAATTCAAGGAGATGTGCATTTGCCCATGTCATGTTTGGTTGGATTTGATGTCATGAAATATTGATGTTTTTAAACAGTCCGAGACTGAGCATATTAAAACAATCTTTTCTTTACTGATTTTGTAGTGTAGATATTTTTAGGTGAGAGGGAAACATGCTTTTATAGATTTTTAGCTAAGTTTTTTTTTTCATATATACAAAAAAAGTCAGTATATATATCTATGCCAAGTATAAAAGAAAATATGTGTCATATTTATTTCTGTACAAATAAATATTCTGTGATATGATGAAAAGTACTCAAACTCACCAGTTCATTGAATTATATAGTTTAAAAAAACTTGAGAATCTTTTTTAATCATTTCACCCCAGGCAAAGCCAATTAGTATGCAGGAGTTTACAGGGTATATAAAGTGTGAGTTAGAAAGGATTGGGGAAAAGACAAAAGATGAATGGAATTCAATAGAAGATGGTGATTGACATTTTTTTGAAGATTGTATCTATCAGAGAAGCAAATCGAGAGAACTTCCACAAGCGGGAAGTGTGAGAAAAAAAACTGTTGGAGTAGAAATGGTGGTTTGCATTCAGTTATTTCAACAGCAAATGGGTAGGACCTAGATGCCAATCTAGTAGCACATTTAGGTTCATGTAGTCAGGACACCAGGGAATAAAGCTTGTCAGAGCAGTTGCCTTGAAAATATTTATAGAAAAGATAGAGGGAAGCCATGTTATGTCAGTGAAAAAGTGACTGAAGTCGAGATGCCTGGTCAGGATTGATTACAATACAGATCCTTCTTTAGATTTTGTCAAGAAAAATAGCAGGAGCACCCGACCATATATGGTAGCGGTATTCAAAGCATGGATGAATGGTAGATTTGTAAACATGCAAGATGGATTCTGACAAGAAAAATCTTATTCCATACTAGCTAAATTACCCATGCCTTGTTGTGTATCAGACATTTTTTGTTAGAAATTGATGATTGATTTTAAATCATTTTTATAACTTGTTGAGAAAAATAATGCATTTCAATATTACTCAATGATCTTGCCAATGTGACCTCCATCTTCTGGCTTTCTCCTTCTATATTTTGGATAGGAGTCATTCCCTTGTTCAAATTTAAAATTAATTTAAATCAAAAGGAAAAAAATTTTCAGTTTGCAAAAACAGCTTGATATGATCCCTTTGATATGTAATTGATGCAATACTTGATTGAATGAATCCATGAGCAGATTTCAACATTGATATGACAGTTGAATTGTCACAACAAATATGCATTGTAAGTCATAACCCTCCAATTGGTGATTTCTTGCTCAATTTGATGTCCATATTGTCTCATTTTGATGTGCCCCCCCCATCTTCTGGCATTCTCCTTCTATGTTTTGTAGAGGAATCATTCCCTTGTTGAAATTTAAATCTAATTTAAATCAAAGGGAAAAAACATTTCAGTGGATGGGGTTGTGCTTCCAAGGGGCCCCCTTTGATCAAAATCAAATATACTCATCCAAGTACCCTAGGAGTCATTATCTTGTTCAAATTTAAATTTAATTTATATCAAAGGGAATAAAAAATTAAGTGAAGGGATTATTCCCCCCACCCCTTTGATCAAAATGAAATATACTTATCCAAGTACCCTGGGTAATGTTGTTTCAGAACATATATGGTTATGGGGATCTATCTCCAACACCCTAGGAGGAGTTTGATAATAAACAGACAGACAGACCGACAGACAGAGGTTACAACTGCAGGAGGTGGGATATGCTGAATAAGTAAATATTCTCCACGGTTCTAAGTTATTCTGGCAAAGTTTAACAAACCTTACATGTAAAAAATATCCTGTTTCAGAAGTATGTTTTTTGTTCTCTTGATGCTGTTGTTACAGTGTACTCATGCAATAACTTTTATTGTTATAAAAACCCAAGCATATGGATATATGTACTTTTTTCTTGAAAATGGACAACAAAAAAATATGAAAGAAGTATTTATTTTCAAGAATGATTTTCTACTAGTCATCCATGCTTAGAATATTTTGTTCCCACATATAGTCTGGTGATCCTGCTATATATCTAATCATTAATAAAATCAAAAGAAGAATTGGCAATATCATTAGTCCTGATCTTGAAGTTCAGCTTCAGTCAATTTTCCACTACAATAAAGTTGCTTCCCTGTACCTATTCTATAAATACTTTCATGGTAATTGTTTGCATTAGAACTTCGCTACGGTACCTAGACTTTATGAATATAAGTGCAGTACAAGACTGGTGACAAGGTCTCACCAATAAATGGTTGAGATGGCTAGATGTAACCATAAGTTCTATGCTAACAGTTTCTTTTTTCTCACCTGTGGATCTCTCTTCTGGCTCAATGCTTTCCTGTCAACTTTAATCCTCAAAAATTTAAATGCAATGTCAATTGCTATTTATTGTCTTCCTGGTTACTCTTTTGTACTTGCTCTTTAGTTGTGTTTCTGTTTTCTGATTCTTCCACACCCAGTAACCTTTTGTGTCTTAGTAGCTTTAATGCCTTGCTTGAGGTGAATTTGATTAAAAAGTAATTTACAAGATTATAAAAAATATATGAACCACAGTGCAGTGCTATTTACCATATAAAAAAATGACAAGAAAAGTATTTTTTTTATTTATGAATTTATAGAAATATCTGTGAACTAGAGAACAATACAAATTAAATAAACATAGAATGATGAGGAACTGTAAATATAACTGTTGAAAAAATACTGTTTCTGTACATTTCTTTCATTTACACTAACCACATAAATTCACTAAAATAAGTTGAGAAAAGAAATTCAGTAGTTACATAATCTACTACAAGATCAATGCATAATTCTTGTTCAATGAGTTGTTTTGGATGATGCACTTTGGCTGAAACCTAATAGAGATTTTATATAAGATATCTTTATTACAGCATCAGGGTCACATATGGTTTTAAATTCAGAGCTGTTTTCTGCCAACCATCGTCAATCTGCCCTGCTATTTAACTTATAGTTGACGGGTGATGAGGATGCATTCATGCCTTATTTTTTTCCAAAGCTATTTGCACATAACTGAATGCAATGAACTCAACTGGAATTCAAACTCAGTGCTCTGATTTTTAATTCAATAGGTTGAAAGCTGAGAAAAAAGTACAGATCCAGTTTCATGTATTTATTTTATTAACTGTAAAAATAGTTAAAAAAAAATTCCCAAGGTAATGTATATTAATAGAGTTGTGAAGAGAAAAACAGTCTTTTTGAAACTCTGTTTATGTTTTTTTTTTTATTCATATGTTTGTTAAACTTTGCCATAATTGCTTTTTATTGGCATAACTGCTTTTTATTGCAACCCTTCATCACACATGCACACAAGAAAGTGCTGAAAAGTTATTTCCCTGATCAAGAAACCCTCCAAAAACATATCTGTTCTTTGGTCATTTGTCCAAATTTTGCAAAGTCTGCCAGGCAAGTGTTTGCAGCACTTCATCATCAAGAAGAACTTTTCAGGAAGTTCTTTTTAGTTTGTGTATATAAAATACTAACTGTATAGACAAGACATATGAGGAATATGATAAATTTGCTTCCTTTAAATAAAAGTAAGTTATTGATGTTTTCATCAAAGTGTTTATTTGTAAACATTTCTGACGTGATTCTTGCAGCTATTAAAAATTTGCTAATTATTCAATATGAATATTTAATTACCTAACTAATGAGAAAAATGCCACTGCTACATTTTACTTACAAGTTCATCAGAATTGGGAGTAATTAGAGAAAAAATGCAATCAGTGCTTTTTAACTGAGTTCAGAAGATAAAGCCCAACCTTTGTAAAGAAAGCATTTACTTCCACACATCTACACTTGTTTTTGCATCAGGAAAATTTTAATGTGTATTTTTATACAGGTTGTGGAAAATACTGGTATAAGTTGATTATAGTAAAGAAAATGTAGAATGTTTCTCATTTAATCAGTTAAGAAAGCAAAACATTCAATACTATACTAAAACCATATTCAGAAAATTTTGGTTGATTGATTTGTTTTTTATGGCTTATCAACCCTTTTCAGGGTATTTAAAGCCAGAAAATATTTTTAGATTGTAAGAATTTTTTTTTGAAATAATAATGATTTAGTGATACAAATCTTACTGATTAATTCATGCCTGGGGTGGTGGGGAAAAAGTGGAGGCCTACATATCCAAAGTTTGTTTGTGCATATGTGAATATAACAAACTCAATGAGGTTTGGAAAACAGCTCTATGATTAACAATTCCATGCCATTATCCATTACACCAACCACACATCCAAGCTTACAGCACATTGTATTCCCAAGTGGTCACCCCTCAAGGTACTGACCTTGCTCAACATTGCTTGACCTTAGTGATTGTATGGGAACTGGTGTTTCAACATGATATGGCCATAAGCAGAAAATTTTGTGCCAAAATATCTCAGGAAACATATATATATATATATATATATATATATATGTAAGTAAAAATGGACTAGTCCATTCTTTTAACAGTAGATTATAAAGATTAATATTTAAATTTTACAATGGTCAGTTTTCAATCTGTACCTGAAGATTGCTGCATGCATGAAACTCAGGGTTTTTTCAAATGTTGAGGAAAAAATGTATGTTTATTATTAATAGTATAAACTTTAACCTTGTTATTTTATGTTGAGCACTTTTATCAAAACCAGCACTCATTATGCAACATTTTATACTTACATATATATATATAGATAGATAGATGTGAGCAGATTTCGATAGGTAGATGCAAAGGTTGATATAATAGTTGTACAAATGTGTGTGTATATATATATATATATATATATATATATATATATATATATATATATATATATATATTAGATAAACCTAGTGAGCCAGACAAACCTACCCAGATCATCAGGGAAGCTGGCTTTCCTGATGATCCACTTTAGTGAAACCTGGATAGGTTTGTCTGGCTCACTAGGTTTATCTAGGTTTGCTCAACGCTTGTATTGAGCTCTTTTTAGTTAGTTGTTTACTTGTATTGGAGTTTTTTTTTGGGCTTCAAACCTGTATCTGTGCATTTTTTTTTTGACAGACTTTCATGTTTCTAGCTCTTTCTTTTTTTAAAACCTTTTTTTCCCTTGAGATTGATTTGATTATTGGCAAATCAAAAATTCGAGGGTTTTTCGAAACGAGTATAGTTACCTATATTTGTATTTATATATATATATATATATATATATATATATATATATGTGTGTGTCTTTATATATAAAGGATATATCAAAAATTCTTTTACAAACTTCATAACTCAAAAATGAAGGATTTGTAGTCATATATTTATATGGACTTTTGTCCTTATTTTGGCATGATGAACCCACCCCCAAAGTTTATAGAAGTATTTTTGATACACGTGTGTGTGTATATATATATATATATATATATATATATATATATGCATGTGTGTTTGTGTGTATGTTTATATATATGTTTGTGTGTTTAGATATATATGTATATATTGAATATATTTTCTGTTTAAACGTTATTTTTATAGATACAGTTTATTCAAGTAAAGGCTCTGTTTTTAATTAAACAGTATTAATTACATTTACTGGCCTGAATGTTCAAGAAATTTCTCTTTTTCTGGCAGGAATTGAACCTGAATTCCTAAAATGGAACTGTCATTTGATCTGACGTGCTATACCATTTTGCTACAGAGAAGTGTCTGGTTAGCAAAGTTTAAATTACTGTTTATAAACACACACTATTCAACAATTGTAATCAGTATGTTGTATTTTAGAATTATCCTACTTTGAAAATGTTGGACATCCAATGTATTTTGTTTGTTTTTGGTGTATCATTATTTTTGTTTGGAATTCATCATGAGTTAATTAAGTTAGTTAATTAAATCTGTACAAATTCTTGATGAAAGGAAAAATTAAACAATTGTTACTGTTTTTATAATGCAAGTGATAAATGGGTTTTGCTCTCGGAACAAAATCTGATATTATCTAGTTTCTAATTTTGAGAAGATTCATTAACATTCCATCAGTGGTCCGGATGATTGAACTCATTGTTTGTAAATTATATTTCTACAAAAATGTGTAATATATAATGCGCGTGTATTAATATATAAATGTATCCATATATATATAAATCTATATATGCGTGTACATATATGCAAATAGATATGTGAGCATATGTGAATAAATATACAAATTCATTTATGCATACATATATGTATAAATAGACACAAATAAATATGATAATGTATATATGTATAGATATATATGTAGATGTGTGTGTGTGTGTGTGTATATGTATATATATGTGTGTGTGTGGCGGGTCACTTTGATTTGGTGTAATAGTTATCAAACTTGTTTTGTTAAATCATTTACAACTAAGTAGTGAATTCGATTCTCACTTGGTGCTCCATGCTTTCAGCCTTGTGCCCTATCTCAGCTATGCTTAGTAAATTGGTATAGCATATATATATATATATATATATATATATATATATGTGTGTGTCTGCATTTATATATATATATATATATATGTATGTATGTAAAGAGAATGAAACAATTATAAATTCAAATGTTCATAACATTACTTTAAAAGAGAGCTCAATACAAAAGTAGAGTAATAAATATTTATTATAAGTTATTACATTCAAACATTTAAGTTACCACTACAAAAATGCATATTTTTTTCGATGCCCAGTTCAGACATCTCATTAGGTGATCACCACCTGATGAGATGTCTAGATTGGGTATCATTTTGTAGTGCTAACTTAAATGTTTGAATGTAATAATATATATATATATATATATATATATATATATATATATATATATATATGTACTAGCAGCATGGCCCGGCGTTGCCCGTGCTTAATTCAAAAATCATATGGCTCATACAGCAATCGCTATCACTTGACTTAAAATATTTTTGGCCTTCCTTGCCTTTAAAGGAGTGCCCTTTGCCGTGCTGATGTTGTTACATGCCTTACTTCTTGCCTATCTCACACTGCAAATTTTTTCTAAGCTCTATACTAAACATTAAATCTGTTATGAAAAAAGAACTAAACAAAATGAACACAAAATGATCAGCTTTAAAAAAGGACTCGTAACTGGAAAAACTGAATGAAAAAAGAATGTTAACAACAAATACTTTTTCACACCCAACCCATTTCTGCAGAATCAGAATCAATGTTAAGTTTAAGCAAGCGAATGAGCCAATTGGAGTAAAGTGCTATGCAGATTTAAATTTTTCCCATTTGTGACGAATGCAGCTATCAATTTTTTTTTTTTTGCATGCTAGTTAACATTCGTGTCAGTCAGCTGTTGGCTCTCATGCTGGCCAATAGAATCTTCCTGCCTATTCATGGCAGCCAGCTATAGGCTCTCACTCTGGCCAATAGAAAAAGGCTGCAAACTACATGAAAAGTGCCATAGAAGCATGAAAAAATCGATTATTTCCACTATCGATGGGAGTTCGGAAATGCAAAGTCAGTTGTGGCCTTCTCACTAACTTGGAGCATGTGCATGTAAATTTTGGTGCAAATTTGTCAAAAATTGCGGCCGTGCATTCATTACACACACACATCCTGCCTTATATATATATGCTTATTGTTTTAAAAATGATAGACTGCCTTGTTTAAAAAAAATTTTCCGTGCAAAAATTCTTCAGAAAATTTGTTGTAAAAAACAAACATATATAAAAAATAATTGTAAAGAACAAAACTGAAAAGGTGTGGTGGCGGGTAGTAACGATTTATATTTATTAGTAGTGTATATTCAGATTTTGTTATTATAAATAGAACACTGTTTTATTACTACCAGCATTCACTGGGCATGATATATATATATATATATATATATATATATATATGTGTGTGTGTAAATGAAAATTTTGTACTACAGAATTTATATATTGTTTTGGAAATTATGAAGCACATTCTTTTTCTTTAAAAGGAACCTTTTCATCCAACACTTCTTCAGAAAGATTTGTTGGAAAAAAAAACAAACATACAAAAAAATAATCATAAACAACGAATTGAAAAAATGGATGTGGGGGTCGTAAATAAGGAGCCATAGCTATAATGAATTTATTAGTAAAACAATAAATCACTGTAAATCACTTGTCAGTATAAAACAGAAAAATCCTACTCATGATCCAGCCATGAGACACAGAGAATTAAGAATTTTCTTTTGCCTGCACAAAGTTGGTTGATGAAGCTTGATATGAAAACATGAAAATTTAGCTGACTGAGATTTGTGCAGTACCCTCAATGCTTTGCCAGAATATTTCAAAGTGTAACTCAGGTGGTTCATCAAATGTAGTTCACTTGCTGACTCACAAACTAAATGAGGCAAGTGAATACTATCACTGACACCACCCTGTCTTATAAAGAGCAGGTATACACACAAAACATCCTTTACAAATAGTAAATATGTGAACAGGCACAATACTTCCTAAACACATCTGGGAGATTATAAACAAAAACCAAATCGCACCATAAATATCATGGAAATGTTGCAGAAAATAACCACAATTATCTTCCCAGACCAACACAAAATATTAAATAAGCAGTCAGAACTCATCTCAAAATGCAGAAAAGAAAACAAATTTTTACTACATTACATAAAAATCTAAAATGAACAAGAATAAACAAAGAAAATTATAAAGTAAAAAATTAATATTAAAAAAAATAAGTAAAATAATTTAATCCAAACTAATAAATAAATACATTTCTTAAATAATAAACAAATTAACAAACACTGAACACACAAATAAACACAAGTAAATATAGTAATAACAACCAACAATAAAATAATAAATAATAAATAAAAAGTTAACAAATAACACTATAAATACCCAAAAAAACTGCATCCTGATCCACAATTATTCCCACTCAACAGACCCTAAAATAATTTGAAACCTAACTGTTACCACCACCAAAATAACTGTAAGAATCATATAATACACTAGCTGCAATGCTTCATTGACTTGTATATATAGTCAAGCAAAAACACAATGCATATCATATATGGCTGAACAATTGCATTTAGCATGAAGCAAACTGTCACCTCTGGGTATTGACTTCAATGCCCACTTATATGTATAGCATATATGTGTATATATATATATATATATATATATATATGGCTCAGTCCACTGCTTACAACACCGAGCAAAAGTCATAAGTGGCGACCTAGAGACATTAGATAAAGAACTGGTCAGTATAAGAAGTACCCTACAACGTAACATCTACCCTGGGTACATGGCAGCAACCCCAAAAAACTGGGATAGGTGGGTACAAGAGGAAGACAACAACACTCAGAAAACAGCCTGCCTGCCTTATATAAAGGGGTTATCAGAGAAAATACAAAGGATCTGCAGTCCATATAACATCATGACAATCTTCA